GAGAGCAGCTGCTCAGAGTTCCCCAAGGGGAATGGAGAGGAGGAGGGAGAAGAGAACTTGCTGGAAGCCTACACACTGAAGTCTGAACCACCCAAGGAAGGATGAACATAGGCTGTCTGGGAACCTGGGGCCCACGTGGTGGAGGGCCAGGCCAGGCCTAGAGCATCCCAGAAGTGAACCTATCAGAACAGCAGATGGCAGGGAGCAGAGAAGGGGCCAAGACCACCCTGTGGGAAGAGACTAGTGTCGGCCCAAAGGTGCTGGGAAAACCAGACATCTACACACTGACCAATGAGGCCAGACCCCTTACCTCACACCACACACCCTGGTTCATAACCAACGAGAACCTAAGAACACGAGCTAAAGCCAGGAAGCCTCTAAAGAAACCAGAGAAAGAAGCTGTGATCAAGGCAGATAGAATGACAAGACTCGGCCCCCAAGAACCAACAGAGAGCTCAAAGGCCTCGAAGTGCGGGATTAAATGCCTGTGAAGAGACATCTCTCCCAGACAGAGACACAAGTGGCCAAAGGCTTACAGAAGATATGTGGTATTGTCTACTCCCTGGAAAACAGAAATCAAACCACGAGGAGACCCTATGTCATAGCTACTAGAATGGCAACAAAAGTTTTTTGTTTTGTTGTCTTTTCTTTTTTTTTTTAAATGGAAAATACCAAGAGTGGTTGAGGGTTTGGGGTGGAAAGTGTACAGATTCGGAAAAGCCTGGTGTCCTTAAATGGACAAGCACGGCATGACTACATGGCTTAGTCATTCTCCTCCTAGGTATACTCTCAAGAGAACCGAGACCATATGCCCACGTAAGACTTCACAGGAATGTCCATGGCAGCTTTTTTCCATGATAACTGAAAAGCGAGGGGGAAAATATCCATCTGTTGGCAGAGGAACGTACAAACATATTGTGGTCTAGCCATGAAATGGAATATTATTGAACCATGTAAAAGAACAGAGAAGGACTGATTCATGCTGCCATGCTGATGAACCTGGACTCACGATGCTCAGGAAGGGGAGGCAGACAGAAGACCACGGATCATATGATCCTATTCATGGGGGAAATGCAGAGGAGCAGCTAATTCACAGAGATGAAAATATCCTAAAACTAATTGTAATGGTAGTTGTGTGTCTCTAGAAGATGCCAAAAAATGACCAGTTACAAACTTTAAAAGGGGGAGTTGTATATGTAAGTAGGTAGATGTGTACTAAGGGTTAAATGCTTAACCAGGAATAGAATGAGAGGAATGGGGCAGAGGATGGATGGGGTGGGATGGGGTGAGAAGAATAAGAGAGAGGATGGATGGGGAGGGTTAACCAAAACTAAGGTGATATGAGAAATCCACATGGAAACCCACTACTTTGAAGGCTCATCTTAAGAAATGTTTTTAAATAAATTTGAATGGAGGTACCCTGCATAGGTGGACAATGGTGCTGCTAAAAGACATGGGTTATTAAACGAAAACCTCTGTGCCAGATGTGGGATACTTCCCTAGGAGTTGTTAGTCAGGGAGGCCCCAGAGGCTCCCAAAGTAGCATAGGCTGTTGTCATTGTTCTTGGCTTCCCACCATACCTGAATGGTAAGACCCCATTGCTGGAGACACCACACACTTTGCGGGCAGGATACAGAAACATCAACCTGGAACTCACAAAAAGAAAACTTCCTCCCTGCTGGCTAGCTTTCAGAATGCTACAGGGTACTGCGCAGGCTGCTGGGGGAGAAGAGACACTGATGGTCTTACGCTGCAACCAACCCTGCATGCTGCAATACCGACCTGCCAGACAAGGTATGTCCACAAGCGCAATAGTGGCATGACCCTTATGGGAATTACCAGCTGTTTCCGACTGAATCTGAAGCCTGTCCCATAAGAGGAAATTTATGCCGGATGCTGTTAACTTGATCAAAAGTCCATGGCTGAGGCATTCATAGACCCTAGGTTGTTTCATTGAATGGACATATTGTAAAACTGCCTTCTAAACATTTATGTTTATAACCATAGCTTATTGCAGCCCTCAGCCTTAATCACAGAAGCTTCTTTCTAGTGGGCAGCCGTTCATAGAGAGACTCACAATAATGAACCAGCCTGCCTCCATCTGAGGCTTTAAAGCCGCCTTATAGTAAAGGCAAGCTAGGCTCATTCCTATTTATGATTAAACCTCTGTTTCTCAAGGATTGGGCTCTGTCCCACATGTAACCTTGACTACAAATGGCTCTGTACTCCTGCTCCAGGAAACAGCAACTACATCTTTGTTTTAAAAAGTTGTAATGACTATCTTACCATCCTACCTTTGTTTCAAAAGGTTGTTATGACTACCTTGTTATGACCACCTTGTCGTGTTCTGCTTCTGTAACCCTGCCTATTTTGCCTGCCAAATCCACCATTTAGAAACTCCCAGTCCCTGAGTTATAAAAACCTTGTCTTCTTCATGTCCAGTGCTGTGTTGACTTCTTGAACCCCACCTTGGGGGGGGGGGCAGCCCATGCACATAAATAAAATAGTTTGCCTCAATTAATTGCTTGCTTTAATTAATTTGGTCATGATGGTTTGCGTCAATGATCTTTCTCCTCACATCTTTGGGATTAACAATAACTGGTCAAAGATCATCACATCCATCCTTCAAAGGGCTCCCAGGAACAGCTAGCTGCTGCTGCTGCCCTTCTCATCACCCCCATGAGGGAGTTCCCAAAGGAGGGGCTGGAGACAGTGCCTTATATCATCACTCAAGCAAGGGCCCACCCTGTGAGTCACCCACTAACATGGGCCGAGGAACCTTATCACATGCCAGGTGTGGCCAGGGATGATCTTTGAGGCCCCCCAAGCCATGTAAGCTTTGACCTCATCTGATGACGTCTGGGCTACAGCAAGGGTCAGGCAGAGGGTCTGGAAGGCCCAGTTTGCCTCTCTTGTTTTGCTATGGCCTAGCAGGAGGGACAGTCTGGGGTGCCCGCAAGGGAGGCAGACCCTGGTTCAGCCTGGCTGCAACCAGCTCCATGCTGTTTCATGGTGAAGAATGACGGCATATCGAAGAGGGGAAAACAAAGGGGGCCAAAGGATCAAGCCAGCCACCTACGGTGACTCAAGAGAAGGCAGCAGGGGAGAGCCGGTCCAGAGCCCACTCACACCGGTGGATGGCAAAGGCTGTCAGGTTCTGAGGGCAGGGAGGGCAGCCCCTTCCCTGCTGGGCCATGCAGGAGATGCTGTGCCCTAGAGGTCGGAGACCTGGGGGTCACTCAGACTCCAGAGAGACCCAAGGTGTCCCTGTGGCTGAATGAGGGAGGAGCTGTAAAGGGCTAAGGCAGCAGGGGGAGCCACTGCCCTGCCTTTGCCGAAGACTCCCTGGAAACTTCCAGAAGAACAAAGACAGGGCCTGGAACTATCTCCCTCCTAGAAGAGAAGCTACAGCTGTGTTTATCCTTTAACTCCAAGCCTCAGTTTCTCTTCCGCACAGGGGACTAAAGTGCTGTACACAGCCATGGAAAGGTCAGGTCAGGTCAGGTGACCATTGAGGATAATGGGATCTAGAGCGGGAAAGTTGAACTTGAGACTTCAGACAAAATGAATGGGAGGGAAGCCCACCATCTTTTCCCAGCCTCACTCTGAGGCCCCTGATACCCACATCTCAGGCAGGAGGACACAGAGAGCCAAATAATACACGTGGATCAGCCTGCCAAGTAGCAGCCAGGACTAATACACTGTATGTAGCCTGAGGCTCCAATCCGGGAGCCTGAGACTCGTTTCCCCATCTGCACACAAAAAGCCTGGAGCAAAGCCTGGTCTACCTCTTGTGAAAAAACAACACCCCCGCCCTCCAGCAAAGCGCTCACACCTGGAACCTCACTTCCTCTCCCCAAACAATTCTGTCTGATGAGACCACTCTGCTTCCTGGTCATTGGGCATTGCACAGGCCTCAACACGTGAGAGTTCCCAGGAACCAGATTCCTCCTCAACCCCATCTCCCCAGCCCTCCACCAACAGCCATCCATGGGACCCATGGCTTTATCACCCATGGAGGCAGAGGTGCCACCACACCACACCACACCACACCACACCACGCCACGCCACGCCACGCCACGCCACGCCATGCCACGCCACGCCACGCCCTCCAGTGCGGCTGGGAAACTCCAAGCAGGTAACAGCTTCCTGCCAGGACCCTCTTTGCTTTCTGCCTCTCCTGTGTGGCAGACCAGGTTCTCTCACCCCTGGAGCTGTGTATTCAATCCAGCATCACCTACTGGAGAGGCTCTGCTGGATCCCCGACTGCTAGCAACTTGACATCCCGGTCACCAGGTGTACACCCTGCTGCCTGGCCTGGGTCTGAAGGAGCTTTTGGTGAATGCACAAGGAGGCACCTTCAGATGTGAGCTGAGGCGGGGTGAGCTGAGGCAGCGAGCTTCCTGCTCCTGCCCTGCCTGGTATTTTGGCACTTCCAACAGCCCTGAGTTGGGAGGTGCTCAGTCCTCCTTGTCTGAGAAGAAACTGAGGCGCACCAGGCAGCAACCAGAGTTCTAGATCAGGGAGAGCACAGAACAGACCCCTAATGGAAGGCAGATGGGCCCCCTCCCTAGCTGGGGGACACACCCTCCAGCTGAAGATGGGAGGAGGGGGGCACCCAGCTGCTTCCTAAGCATCTACCTCCAATGTCCCCAGAGAGAGTCATGAGGAGCAGGAGGGTCTGGGTTTGGGGCCTTCCTCTATGGAGGAAAGCTAGGGACAGATTTTGGTTTTGTTATGTCTCTGGGGTTGTGGTCAGGTCCTTGGCTAGAACTGGGATACTCCGTGGCAGCTCCTCCTCCCCAGGCCTTCACCATGGGCTCGCAGACCTGTCACCCAAAGTGCACCCCCTACCAGGCCGGCTGGGGGAGCAGGAGGCGCCGGGTGGGTCCCCACTAGCCGGGGCGGGGTCCCGTGGGGCTGGGGCGGGGCTGACGGCGAGCAGGGCCGCCCCTTCCAGCGAGGGCGGGCGGCCTTGGCCATTAAAAGCCTGCGGACGGTCAGCAAAGGAGAGGCCCGGGTCAGTCCCCACACCATGTCTTTGCGCTCCCAGCCAGAGTGCGCCTGAGCCGCCCGGGCCTCGGTGTTCCCGCGGGTCTCGCGCCGCCGCCTCTTGACGATGCAGGCGCGCGCGCTGCTTCCCGCCGCGCTGGCCGCGCTGGCCACGCTGGCTGTGTTGGCGCTGGCCCGGGAACCCCCGACGGCGCCTTGCCCTGCGCGCTGCGACGTGTCGCGCTGCCCGAGCCCGCGCTGCCCCGGGGGCTATGTGCCCGACCTCTGCAACTGTTGCCTGGTGTGCGCTGCCAGCGAGGGCGAGCCCTGCGGTAGCCCCCTGGACTCGCCGTGCGGCGACAGCCTGGAGTGCGTGCGCGGTGTGTGCCGCTGCCGTTGGACCCACGCAGTGTGTGGCACGGACGGGCACACCTATGCCGACGTGTGCGCGCTGCAGGCCGCCAGCCGCCGTGCCCTGCAGATCTCCGGGACGCCGGTGCGCCAGCTGCAGAAGGGCGCCTGCCCCTCGGGTAAGCTCCGCCAGGAATTCAAAGACTTATTCTGAGGAAACTGAGGCCCAAGGGGATGCCGCCCGCTCACGGAGTGCCACTAGGCAGCCTTTTAGGAAAAGTTCAGACAGTCCTCTAGCCTTCTAGATGGAGAAACTGAGTCCCAAGAGTTCATCGCTGTCCCCAAAGCCACAGAACAAGTTAGAATTGAGACCTAGTGTGGCAGCTTTGTAGTGTCTGTAGTGTGGGGCTCTGACCCAGGCACTCCTCTGTTTCTTATAGTCCTCTAGTGGTTTAGAAGGGAATGATTGGCGAGTGGCATGCAGTCTTTTCTGGTCTCTGTCTTCAGTTTCTCTTTGGGTTTTCTTTTCTTCTGTCTGTAGCTTTCTTTCTTTTCTTTTCTTCTGTCTGTAGCTAGGTGGTCTTTGGGAGGCAAAATGGGGCTACAGCCAGTGTGTAAGCCACAGCTCAAAGGCTCAGGGGGAGACTCCTAAGACGGCCTCTCCTGGTTGGCAGGTGGCGCTTGGTCACTTCTGACCTTGCAATGGAACCCTGTACATCCAAGAAAAAAAAAACTTTGTCAATCTGCTTCTTGTCTGGGGCATTGTTTAGGATACCAAGCTTTGCCCTTGGCGTGATGGGGACTCAGTGGTTGATCCTCAATGCAGCTCAGCACAGCCCCTGTGCGTCCTTAGCCTGAGGTCAGACGGGCTCTGCTGGGCACTCAGAGGATACCTGGGAACCAGGCAGAAGGTCATCTAGGCCATCTTTTGGAGAATAAGGCTGAGTTTTCTCTGTGCTGTGTGGAAGGCATCCTGGAAAGACGCACTGGCCTGAATAGACTCTTGTGGGCTTGACTGCATGTACTGGACACATTGGGAAGTGCAGGTAGCTCAGCGCTGGGTGGGGATGGGACTTGGTGGCTGTAAGCATAGTGCCAGAGGCTGGCTTTGCCCTGTCAGACAGAACTGTTGCCTTCTGGACACTCAAGTCCTGTGTCCCCAAAAGGCTGGGGAGCTGAACATTCTCCTGGAGAGAAGGCTGAAGGAGCTCTAGACAGCCAGAGGCCAGAGAAAGAGCGGCAGGCACGGCTCTTTCCCGGTGAACACCTGCCTTCCTCTCAGGCTGGGTGGCCACAGGTGCCCAGACTGGAAAGTGCCATCCATGTAGGATTCTGTGGACCACATGAGTAAGCCATTTCAGGAGAGTTGGGAGGAGGACATCCTTATCTGTGTTATGGGAGACTAAGCAGGTTATAACAAACAAACATTCATGTCTCATAGTCTGGAACCTGGAAGCCCGTGGTTGAGACCCAGCCCTGATCCCCCAAGGGGAGGCTACTATGTGCTCACATGCCATGGTGGGGCAGAAGGCAAGCACGTGACATGGGTGAGAGACCCAAGGGGGTGTGGTACCGCTTACAAAGGCCTTAGTCTCCACTCATAAGTGGAAGGGTCTTATAGGGTCTACACCTACATTTTGGAGGGGCTGTATGTTGGTATGGGTAGGGTCATAGGTCACATGAGGGACAGCAGCCCAGTGCTTGCTCTCTTTGGGCAGTGTAATACATTACAAGGACACCCAGGGTGTGCTGGGTGCTGGTTCTGTGTGCCCATCTTGGGCCTTGCTGTCTGAGGTGCAGAGGGTTCGGGGTGGCCAGGCACGGGCTCTCCTCTGCTCTTCTGCTTGCTACCATCTTGGTTGTATTTGGTGTACCCTTCCCCTGGTCTCCCATGTGGCTGATACTGTTAGCATCAGGCTCTGGGCAGAGATGGGCAGGGATGGAGGTGGCCTTTCTTCTTCGCAGGCTGAGCCATTTGTGAAAAATCTTTTCTGTGCCTGGCTGTCCCTTGATTGGTAACAGTGTGTGGCATGAAGCAGACCCTGTTAGTGCCCTTGAGACTTCTAGACCCTGGAGGGCACAGACCAAGGAGAGAGGAGGAAGTCAGCCTGAGGATTAGGCAGGGTATCCATCACTAAGTGCGGCAGAGGTGGCTGAGAGTCTGTGGGTGTTGGCGGGATGGCGGGCTTCCTAGACCCACTGTCCTTAGTTACATCGCTCCATTGTCTTCTGGGTACTCAATCATAAACGGTCTGATGGCAGGCCTGGGAGAGACCCGTGCAGGGAAGATTTAGTCCCAGCGCAGTGCACACTGGGGCCCAGGGTTACTTCTTGTGCTGGGCACACTGTTGCTGCTGAGCAGTGAGGCCCCTAGGAGAGGTGCTGAGTTGGGACAGGGAACGGGGCTCCCTAGCAAAGATGGGGAGGGTGGAGAGGCCTGGGCAGAGCAGAGACCAAGATCTGGTCTAACGCACTGGCCACCGTCAAAGCTCAAGGTGCCCATGAGCTGGCAGGAATTGAAGCCAGGGAAGGAGGGCACATTACCGGGGATGTTAACAAGCCAGGCTCTACCACCCATCCTCAAAGGGCCAACTAAAGCAACGTGGCCACATTGGGAAGAGGAGCAAAGAGGTCCAGTGACAGCTCCCCAAGTCCATCTAGGGGTCCTGACACGAGATTTAGGTTTAAATAGAGGAACAGAAGTATATACAAACCAAGCATCTCCCACCCATCCTTGACCCCTCAGTCTCCACTCCGGTCTCTCCTGCAAGGTGGCCTGATGCATCCCTCTCACTGGCTGCAGTCTTCTCTTCCCAGAGTGAGATTCCTGGGGGAATTTCAGTTTCTCAGGGCCCATTGTCTCAGTAGTCTGGTAGTCAGAGGGGATGGTTACAGCTAGACAGGGCCAGTGACCTTGAGCCTGACACTTGTCCGTTGCGCACTCTGACCTGGGTGGTCCAGGTTGCTGCTTACTCCACGGACATGATTCACAGAAGCACCCTGTGCTTGTCTGCTGCTGCTTCTCTGCGGCTGTCTCCGGCTGCTCAGAAGTTTCACACACTAGTGCGAGTGCCAGGCTCACTCCATGCAGATGGAGACTGGCCGAGGCAGCCTGGCTGTCTCTAACTGGTCCTCCCAGCTCAGCTGACAGCACCGCCCCAGGACATTGATGTCTCAGCCTCTGTCCGCCACTGCACCTGTCATCGCCTCCTGTTTGCTGTGAATATGGTCACTAACCAGCCTGACCACAAACCACAATGCCCAGATGCTCTGGGCTCATGAATGTCTTGGGGGCGGGGAGAGCTGGTGAGCCCCACTTGAGGGTGATGTCTGAGAGGGGGGCTCCTGTGGCATGGGGGTCTCAGAACAGATTGGGTAGCAGAGGGAGACCAAGTCACCATTGGCTTCTGCTGGCTTCTACCTTCCTTATCATCCTGTATCATTTTACCTGGCAGCCAGGTGTCCCTGGTCAGTCTGTCCTGCATGTTACTAACAAGACCCCCTCCAAGTCACCCTCCACACTTACCTGGACTCTCAGGCCCTGTGTCTGCCAATACACACACACACACACACACACACACACACACACACACACACACACACACACCTCCATTGCCGTCATCTGCGACCTTCTCACCCTCTGGCCACCTTACACCCCCCCCCCCCCCTACCTCAGGGCCTTTGCACATGTTCTGCCCACCACCCACAGTTCCCTCTCTCATTCTCACCTAGCAGGGTTCCTCTTCTGGGCTTAGATGTCCATTGACCTGTCTTCTCTCTCCTGCTTGCTCACTCTGGGCCTCATGGCAGCGGTGGGTCCAGCACCTGGTTGCACACAGTAGCTGTTGTTATTATATGAATATCTGGGCCCACGGGTCTCTGTAGCTCTCTTGGTCCCTATTAGATGGTTCCAGTGGGAATGACAGAAAATGTTGGGTCCCACCTGCATGTTAGAAAAGCATTCTCAAGGGAAGGGTCCCTTTGCTAGGATGACCTGCACTCGGGGGTCTGCTTGCAGGTTTCCCAGAGTCCCTGTCCCACAGCCCCTCTGTGACAGTAGACATCTACTTATTTCTAGAACTCGCAACTGGGGGGGCTTTGGGGCAGTTCCCACACAGATTTAACAGGCAGCTTTTAATGTGCAAGGAGGCTCTGCTGGCCTCTCCCAGCCTGTTATTTAAGAGCTTTGGGTGGCTTTTGTGTTCACTCTTCTTAGAAGCTTCTAGGGGCTCAGAGTTCAGCATCTGAGACTAACCAGGAAGAAGATGCATGCTCTATCTGCCCCATTGCCTGCTGGGACAGCAGAACTGGACAGTGGTCTGGCTGTGGGTGAGGACTGGCAGGGTTCCAGGGGCTTCATACATGTATTTCATAGTGGGTAAGATTGTGTGTCATGGCTGGGGACTAGGAGGAGCTCCATGACCTGTGAGTCCAGAAGCACTGTCAAACCCAGGTCCCTTTCTTCATTTACCTCCAGGGCATGCAGAGGTGGCCATGCAGAGGAGCTGTGTGGGGACCATGCTGCCTCGACAGAGTGGCACTCACCATGCTGGTCTGCCTGCTGACCCTTGTGCCCTACACCACCAAAAGTCTGGGTGTGCTCACTGGCCTATAGGATCTCTGGACACAGTGAGGCAGGTGGCCTCCCTGGCCTATGCTGTAGGCCTCAGACCTGTGCAGATGGCACAGCAGGCTGGGTAGATGGCACATCTACAACCTGCTGCCTTGCAGGAGGTGGCTACCAGAACTCCTAGGGTCAGCTGTCCGGATTCCTGCCATAACCTCTGAAGCCTTGAGCTCATCGTGGGGGATAATGTTGGGGTACAAGGACAGGTTCTCAGAGTAAGGGAGAGCTTGCCCCAAGCCATGGTCCTCCTGACTCCCTATTGTTGATCTGATATACCGTGGTCCTTGAGCCCCATGAGGAGGTGGCCACCCTGGAGGACACTGTGAGGAGGTAACTAAGTTATGAGAAACCGAATGCAGTCATAAGCCCCTCTTCTTGGGGCTGTGGAAGCCTGGCCGGGCACATGTGCCTCAACTACACGACAGGCCTGGGGCACCACACGCTGTGCCTGTATATCTGTGGTACCAGCACAACCCTCCAGTAGAGACCCCAGGAACTAACTCTCCAGGCCCTGTCTACTCCGTTGCCTCAGCTCCTGTCCCAGCTCCTGTCCCAGGCTCCTGCTCACAGTGTCACGCAGCCCCTTCGCCAAGTGTGCTGATCCCCCATTCCTCAAGGCCCAGGCCAACAGGGCACCAACCCTAAGGTCCCCCTTGCACCCTCACAGAGAGTCTCTCTAGAGCACTGTTTCTCAACCTTCCTCATGCTTTAGTACAGTTGCTCACATTGTGGTGACCCCCATCCGTATTATTTCATTGCTACTCCAGAACTGTAATTTTGCTACTGTGATGCATCGTAATGCAAATGTCCGATATGCGATCCAAGGGGGGTCACGACCTACAGTGTCCTCAGTGCGTGGGTACCCGGGCTGTGCTGGCCCTGGAAGTAAGCAGCGAGAGTGGAACACACAGCCCCTACAGCTTCAGCCCTGCTGCCGCAGCTTTCCTGTGTGTCCTCCTCCTAAATGCTTGCCTGTCCCTAAGTGACCCATGTCCCCCTGGCCACAAACATCAAGATCCCTCTGTGGTTCCCAGGGAGTCCTGCTGCTGTCTGCGGCCCTCAGACCCAGGTCCTGCCTAGGGAACGGAGGATGGGGAGAGCCACTGTCCAGCTTGGGGCACACAGACCACACACCACCTCTCCCTCGCAGCCACAGCCCAGGGTACCAGCCCAGGTGCAAGGTATCAAGCACAGCACACCGGGCACAGGGCACCAGGCCCAGAGTCGGCCTCCCTGAGCTCTCCAAGGCTGATACAGTGGCTGGTTTATAGGTTGGGAAACAAGGCTTAGAGAGATCAGGTGGCCTGCCCGAGGCACACAGCCAGATCCCTAAACCTAGGTACATCCCAGCTCTGTGCTGCGCCTTGGGAGGGTGTAACAGCTGGTTAGCTTCCAGGAGAGCCCAGCCTTGACCTGTCTCTGGCTTGGGGCCAGCCCGGCGGCGGCAGCGGCGCCTCTGGCTGTGAAATTCCAGGCTCTGCTGGCTGAGCCAACCTCTGGAGGTTGGCTGTGAGGCTAGGCTCCGGGCACAGAGATCCCCAGCTCCCCTTATGGAATGCCCTTCCACCTGTGACTGGGTGGGGAGGGGCAGTAAAACCGGTGAGTGTGGGGTGCTCAATGCTGCATTCGGTCGTCCGGCACCAACTGCACACAAACATGTGCTATGCCTGGATTTATTTGCCATCCCCCCGTTAGGCCTCACACCACACCAAGCCTGAATATTCATAACCTCAACTGTCTGGTGACCCAGGGAGGGATGTCACTGCTGTCCCCCGTAAGAGAACTGAGGCACAGTGGACTCGGGAGACCTGTGGGGCCTTTCTGTTAAGAAGTGGCAGAGTTGGGGGACACCGTTGAAGAGCCAGATATGGGGATCAGAACCAGGCTCCTTTACCTGCCGGACTGTGTGCTGGTTTCGGGCTAATGTACACAGTCGTGCGTGTTGCACACTGTCCAACTCCGGGGAATGTGGGTATGGATACGGACCCCTGTTAATAATGCCGATGGAACCGTGTAGTGTACAGCCTCTGTGACGGTGTAGGGTGTCCCCGTGGTGTGTCGTGGTCATTCTCATTCCCATTCTGTGCTTTCAGGTCTTCGTCTCTCCCATGGCGTTATGACTGTGCACAGTTCACACGCCATCCTGCTTGAGGGTCACCCACTGTCACTTAGGCAGGCATGTTGGAGATGGAGCCCCGAGGCCAGCTTCCCTCCGAGGGTTACTTCTTACAGCCCTTCCTCTCCTAGGAGCCCCCAGACACCTGGCCCTGAGGGCTGTGTTCTGTGTCCTGCTTGGGAACAAAACTTCCGGGCCTTCAGATTCTGTTTATTTTTGAAAAACAACAAAAAGTCAAATAAAAAAATAAAAAAGAGCCAGCAGCTGAGTGTGCTGAGACTACGGCCTTCAGAACTTGGCTCGGCCTGGCATGGGGGTGGGGCTGTTAAGAAACCCCAAATAAACAGAGCTGTTTCCTGGCCCAGCCAAGCCAGTTCATGTGGGAAGGCTGTGGTGGGGGCTTGCGGCCTTCTGTGTGACTCATGGTGACTCATCTGAGAGTGGGGCCCGATTAAAGGGCCATGCCTGGCGGGCTGCAGGGTTCCCCGACCTGGCGCAGGGCTAGGCCTTCCATTCGAAGATGGCATTCATACTCAACCTCAGTTTTCTGGGCTGTAAAATGGGCCATGGGGTGGGGTGGGGGGTCTAAGCTGGGGTCTGGGCTGAGCAAGTTCTGGCTTTGCCTCCTCCTCCCTCCTTCCAGGAGGGCTATCACCTCTGGGCTGTGGGGTGAGCCACAGCACAGGTCTCTGTGCTGGAGCGCTAGTGCTGGGGAATGGGGACCCTGTATAGTAGTATCTCTTTGGTTGCTCTGAGGTCCTGAGCATGAAAAGCCAGCTGAAAGCAGATCGGGCTGTCCTGGGCCCTTGCTCCAGGCCTTGCCATCTCTCCAGTTACCTACCATGCAGAATCCTAGCTGACAAGGTCCTTCTGAAGGTCAGGTCCTCACTCTGGAATAACAAGTGGCCTAGGAGCTTGGAGCAGCGCGGTGGTGGGTCTGCTCACTGACTTGAACCTCCGGGTCAGCTCCCAACAGCCTGGGGACACAGGGACTGGGAGGCCTTGGCTCCTGCCTCAGTTCTACCACTACCCATACTGGGCCTGGCAGGCCAGGTGGGCAGAGCCAGGGGAGGGGTCTGTCGGTCCTGGAAGTGCCGAGCCCCAGGATGAACTGGGCAGTGAGGCAGACAGGGTGATTTGTTCTCCATGCTGTCTGTGAGAAGGGCGGTATTCCTTCCTCCTCAGTCAAAGGCGCACTGGGCCCAGGTCTCAGCCCACTTAGACAACTTCTCTGATCACTTCCTGCCAGTCGGGGGCAGCAGGTGGCTTTGCCCATACAGGAGTCCAGGAGCCGTCTGCATGTCCCATCTCACCCCAGGTTCCATCTGTCCCACCCCTGCTCACACGTCTCCATCCTTGCTGTCCCTCATTGCCGATGGATGCCAGGGCTGGGTTCACGAAGGCTGTGGGCGGGTGTGACCGGGTAAACTGCACAGGAGGCCTGGCTAGGAATTGTTTTGTAAGCCTCCATTCGCCATCTTTACATTTGAGGCTCCATTCCCCCCACCACCACCACACACACACCCCACACCCCGCCAGCTGCCACTCTGGGAGTCAGGGACATTGACGGCTGTATGTGGGGACAGTGTTGGCCCACAATTTTTTCAGAGCACAGGCTGTGGTCTGTACCCCTCTCATGGCTGCTGCTGTGGACATGTTATTTTCCATCCTGTTGGATGGTGTGGAAAACCAGGTTTATGAGGTGGAAGCTCAGCCCCACAGAGCCATACAGGGCCCTTTCACATCACCAGGTACCAGGGTGAGTGGTGGCTTCCTGGGAAAGGGAATGTCACCATTTACATTCTCATCAGTTTACCCAGGCCCCATGAGAGGTCACCTTCGGTCCCACTTGTCAGATGGGAAAGTCAAGGCCCAGAGAGGGTAAGTGACTTGCCGCAGGTCCACAGCTGGAAGACAGCGGGTCCAGCTGAGCCCAGCTGTGTGCAGCTCCCAGGCCTGTGCTCATTTCGGAGCCCACGGACCCCTCAGAAGCAGTTCCAAGGAGCATGGTGTCTGGAGGTCTTGGTACGGTCTTGTGCCACCCGCACGCCTCAGGCCTGTGGTCCTGGCAGGCCACAACCCCGTTGCTGATGGCGGCAGGAATCTGAGCCAGTGATTAAGGTTTTGGGGAGGTTTGTGAGCTGCCTGGCAAGTAGGCCTGGGCTATGGCCAAGTCAGTCAAAGGCGGGGTGCTCTGTCCACCCAGGAATCTACAGCCTGGCCAATGAGGAAGGGCCTCACAGAGGCCAGATGAGGGTGGCTCAGGGACTTCCACTGTGCCCTTAACTATCAGTACGCTGGTCCTCAGGCAGAGACAGGCAAATGGTTCGCTCTCCAACACACTTTTTTACATGGGAGCAGGCAGGAACCCAGGGGTGCTGGTCCTCGGCATTAGTCCTGTGCTTCCTGGAGCTAAGATCCAAACCTCTCTATGACTCCTGCTCAGCCCCCAAGAGTCCAGTGGGGAAAATGTGCAGAAGTTCAACTCCCAAAAGTCCTAGTTAACCATTCTCCAGGGCAGGGACCACTACCTCAGATGTCTGGGCATCCCTGCACTTCTGGGGGATGGGGTTCAGAGCATGTTGACACGGGCTTTGAGTCCAGGGAGGGGTCTGCAGCAGGACCTCTACCACCCTGGGCCTAGGGGCTGCTGGGAGCCAGCAGGTCTCACTGACACCCTTGGTCCTTGCCGCCAGCGCAGGTCTCCACCAGCTGACCAGCCCACGGTACAAGTTCAACTTCATCGCTGATGTGGTGGAGAAGATCGCGCCAGCCGTGGTCCACATAGAGCTCTTCCTGAGGTGCGTGGGGGCCCCCCCGAGTTGCTCCTCAGCTTTCCCGTTCCCAGCTTCCCTCCTGCCTGCTGCCACTAAAACGAGACCTGATTCCAGCAGCTGGAGCCATAGCAACAGGTGGGGTGGGATGAGTAGCAGCTACTGAAACTTGATGTGCCTGGGGGACGAAGGTCAGCCTAAAGTGAGTACCTAGGAGTCTAGGAGATACAGAGAAACAGGGGACAGTCCCACTGAGGTGCCAGCTCAACAGGACAAGTGTTCTGAATCAGGCGCGAGGGAGGGTGTGCGAACTCGTAGCTAGACGGGGAGGGGAGGGAGGACTGAGTGGAGGTGGGTGGACAGGGAAGCAGGTTTGTCTATGGGAGAGGAAGCCCACTGTGCGATGTGTGGTCTAGCTTCCTGGCAGGATCCCTCTTTACAGACAGGGGAGGGGCCTCCTCCCTTCCTCCCACACCCAGTATTCTCTCCCAGAGATGTCTGTGCTGAATGAGGAGGCCCTGCCTTCCAGACACAGCCGCCAAGGTCCCATCACTCACATCCGGTCCTGAGGTCTCAATTTAGACCCCCTAGAGAGAAGCCAGTTGTGGCAGGAACCTCAGGACTCTAGACACAACAATCTCCACCCTTCTCGCGCTGGAGCTGAGTGGAGGGAGCCGGCTGGAATGGTGGAGCCAGACAGGAGCCCACCTGATAGGGATCAGGGAAGCTGGTGACCAGCTTATTAGTCTGACTCTGGTGTGGAGCTGCCTGGTTACTGATGTCAATCACCATGCCCTCCCTCTGCGCTCCATGGCCAGGGAAGTGTCAGGCTACTCAACCTCCTGCCCACTAACAGTGGCAAGAGCCTCACAGGCAAGGTGTGTGTGTGTGTGTGGGGGGGGGGGTATATGGCCGGGGAGGGGGATGAACAGTACTCATCCAGGGTCTAGCCTGAGCTCTGGACCATGTTGGCTCTGAGACTGTTTTCTTAAGCCACCCTGGGGCTTTTGGAAAAGAGAGCCAGATGGGGACTCAGGCCCCGTGGGACTGTGGGACCCTTCTGCCTGCCAGGTCCCTGCTATAATTGACAACTTATAGACCTATGCCTCCCAAGGCCTTTACACACACACACACACACACACACACACACACACACACACACACACACATACACCCCACATCACATCCCACCTGGAGATCCCCCTGCCATATCCGATTTTCCCCTGGGGTAAAATCTGAGACACATCATTGAGGAAATTACAAATGGGTGCACTAAGAGGCTGTCTCAACTGAAGGGGGCTGAGGAGGGACTGTGTATGTTGAGAGGGCCTGGGGCACTAACTCTGAGCTGGTTAATCACAGGCTAAGGCAGTAGTGATGTCTGGCTCGTGGAGCCAAAGCCTCATGAGTAGGTAAGGCCCTGGTAGGGCAGACATCACAGAGCCTTTCAGCCATAACCCTTGACCTGTGGGATGTAGGTGCAGGGCTCTCTCGGACCCCGTCTGCAGTCTTGAGAAGAGCTAGGTTTAGCCACCCTGTGGTGCTTCTCAGAGAGCTATGGATGGTAGATGGAGACAGACTCTGCCCTAAGCAGCTTGGCATGGTGGGAACCCTGCTCTGCTCTGCCCCCTGCCTGACCCTAGCAAGTAGTACCACATCTCTGGGCCTCAGTCTCCCAGAGAGCTTTGCACAGCAGGTTACCCAGGACTAAGTCACAGAGCCCCGCAGACTGGAGGATTAAACAATGGGACGCGTTGCCTCCCCGCTCTGGAGGTTGAGGTCCAAGATCAGATGTCTACAGGGCATCCCACTCGGATCCTGGGCCAGCTTACAACTTCCAGTGGTTCTGGATGTCCTCGGGTTGGGGTACCTCCTCCCCACCCGTCTCCCATGTCCCCCTTGAGCCTCTTCCAGCTTCCTGTCTTCTCAAGGTACTGATGCTTGAACATAGGGCCCCTACTCCATCGAAACGTCACAGCCCTGTCACATCTGCAGAGACCCACATCTGCAGAGACCCACTTCCAGATGAGGTCACACCCATGGAGGTGTGGTCAGGACTTGATCACATCTGTTTGGGGAACACTGACCCACAAGTCTCCCATGAACTTTGAATGAACTTGTCCCTGGCTTCAGGAAGCACTTAGGATGTTTGTTGTTTCCCCTGCTCTGGCCAGGCTGAGATGACTTTTTTTTTTTTTTTTTTTTTTTTTTTTTTTTTTTTGGTTTTTCAAGACAGGGTTTCTCTGTGCACTTTTGGTGCCTGTCCTAGATCTTGCTCTATAGACCAGGCTGTCCTCGAACTCACAGAGATCTGCCTGGCTCTGCCTCCCTAGTGCTGGGATTAAAAACATGCGCCACTGCTGCCCGGCTGAGGTGACATTTTGAAAAGACTGTCACGCGCTCCAGAGTGCTAGACACTTGGGCTCCTTCATCCACTTAGGGTCCTCAGGGCCTGTGTACTTTTGTGTGTCACCCTGAGGAAGGTCCCAAGCTGCACCAACCTTCTGCCCCCTCCCATCCTGAAAGTAAGGTCAAGACTCCTTAAGCAGACAGCCCATTTCCCAAATGGGAAGACAGAGGCTCAGAGGGTTTACAGAGCCTGCCTGAGGGCAGCTAGGTCACAGGTGATGTTGGACTGGCCATTGGAGTCTCGGCTGGTTGTCTCTAGGGCCCTGCTGGCGGGCATTGGTGCCCCTGCCGGCTGGTGCACGCTAACATGTCAACAGGTACTGTGAACATATCAGTACAGCAAACTGCAGATCAGAGATGACGGTCACATCTTCACAGCCATGAACTTCATCCAGCCTCGGTGTTGCCAAGGCCCCGCCCACAGTGACAGCCTCAGTTCAAAGCCAGGATGTGGAGGGAGTGGTTCCCCCAAGCCTGTTCTTTCACCTCGCGTGATTCTGCATCCACCACCATGCTGACTCCCCCAGGCCAAGGCCTTACTCTGAACGTTCCCCTGCTTCCCTGTGCAGACACCCTCTGTTTGGCCGGAATGTGCCGCTATCCAGTGGTTCAGGCTTCATCATGTCAGAGGCTGGTTTGATTGTCACCAATGCCCACGTGGTCTCCAGCTCCAGCACCGCCTCAGGCCGGCAGCAGCTGAAGGTGCAGCTGCAGAATGGGGATGCCTATGAGGCCACCATCCAGGACATTGACAAGAAGTCCGATATCGCCACTATCGTAATCCACCCCAAGGTGAGCAGATGGGGTGCCTCTGCCTGCACAGCAGTGCCCTCCCCAGCCTGTCCCAGCAATGCCCTCCCCAGCCTGTCCCAGCAGTGCCCTCCCCAGCCTGTCCCAGCAGTGCCCTCCCCAGCCTGTTCCAGCAGTGCCCTCCCCAGCCCGCACATCTGCACTAGCTCAGCCTTCCCAGCGCTCTGAGTCCCAGGGCCACTGGCAACATCAGACCTGGAGCCTCTGAATTGCCCTTGCCCAAGGTGCCAACACCAGAAACAAGCAGGACACAGGAGGGAGGAGGACAGCATCTCACACCTCCCCACCTCTTTATTGTCCTAGCCGGGCCCACATCTGGGGTTCCCTGTCCTTGGCGGCTGACAGACCAGGGAAGTCAGGCTCCACTTTCTACCTCTGTGCCCACACCTACTCTGGCTACCACATGACCCTTTATGGTCCCCAGGAGCTTCTAGAAGCCCAGGTGGTGTTCTTCCTGTTTGTGGCACAGGCCAGGGCGGGAGAACCCTCATCACCTAGACTCTTACAGGGTGAAACGGAGCCTTGGGAAGATTAGAATTCTCATCACTTGGAATCTGAGAGGAAATCGAAGCTCAGAAAGGTTAGATCACACACCTAAGATCACAGCTAACAGTGGCAGGGCTAATCTAGATGCAAACCATCCTCAAACTGGTTTGTATTGTACCCAGCGGTACCATTGCATGGCTCTGGGATGGCCGTGGGGGTTTTCTGCATCCCCTGCACCCACCATCAAACGTGTCACTGTGTCTTCAGTCAGGCTCAGGCACACAGTTCCCTCTAGATGTCTGTGAGCCAGCTGGTGTGGATATGTGGAGCCTAGCTTCCTCCTGGATGCAGGTTCTTGGTGTCCGTGGTGACCAGTGTTTGCAGAGTTCATTGTCAAGGTGGAGGATCCATAATGGTCAACCCTGATACAGACCCTCTGTAGTCCTGAGTCCTGTCACGGGCCGAGTCTGGGTGCATTGCTTCTTCATGGTAGCACAGAAACTGAGGGTGGGAGGGGACAGACTGAAGGGCTGAAACGACAAGAACTCTTCACACTGTGGAGGCCCAGCTTCTCTATGGCCAGCATGCAGCTCTGCTGTGCTCAGAGTCTCCAGGCTAGGCGAGGCTGTATGCTCAACCATGGGCAGCTGCAGGAAGCTGTAAGGCAGCACAGCCCTTCCACAGCTTCCCTGGTGTTAAGAGCACAAATGATTGCTGTAGAGATAGACCAAGAACATTGCCCTGGGGTGACAGACAGAGCATGTCTGGCTTTCACTGGTAGCAGAAGTATGGTGCGTGTGCCTCAACACCACACACACACACACACACACACACACACACACACACACACACCCCGGAGCCTCTGAAGCTCAGAAGCTCTGTGCCCTGCGGCTCCCCAAACCAGATATTCATATACACCTGCTCTCTCAGACCACAGCATCCACAGGGACGGATAACTGAGTTCACAGACAGATGGGCTCCGCTAGCCCTGTGCTAACGAGTGTTTAGGTACTTAGTGTGCTGAGATGGCAGGGCGGAGTGTTCCTTTCCCTGGCCTCAGTTCCCTTGTGTGTCTATATTGAGATATCAAAGATTCCAAACTAGGTTTCCCAGGCCCTTGTTAGGGCTCCAGGGAGCTACATATCCCACCATGGGGTGCCTCTGTGGGGTGCAGCACACCAAGCCTGGGGGCACTGGGTAGCTTTCAGCTGACCTGCAGAGCAAACTGTCGCCACTAAATCACAGGCTTAGCTGGGCAGTAGCGCACGCCTTTAATCTTAACACTTGGGAGACAGAGGCAGCTGGATCTCTGTGAGTTTGAGGCCAGTCTGGTCTACATAGTGAGTACTAGGTCAGTCAGATGCATAGGAAGATCTTGTCTCAAAACAAACAAAATCCAAACAAACCCCTGGGCTCAAGGATGTCAGAGGCCTGGCCCCAGCCTGGATGCTCTGTGTACCTCCCTGTGACAGACATTTATGGCCTTGGTTCTGTAGGCTCCAGCCCCAGTCTCGGCCAGCTGCTGGTCTGCCTTCAGGTCACATTGGCCACTTGCCCCAGCCTGGTCTCTGGGCTGTGAATAGCCTCCTTCCTCTCCAGAGACCAGCCTGTCAGGGTCCCTCTCTGTGGTCTGAGCCGCTGTCCCCTCGTCTCCTTCCAGAAAAAGCTTCCTGTGTTGCTTCTGGGTCACTCAGCGGACCTGCGGCCCGGCGAGTTTGTGGTGGCCATTGGCAGCCCCTTTGCCCTGCAGAACACTGTGACGACGGGCATTGTCAGCACTGCCCAGCGGGATGGCAAGGAGCTGGGCCTCCGGGACTCAGACATGGACTATATCCAGACAGATGCCATCATCAATGTGAGTCCTGTGGGCAAGGCTGACCTCAGTGACCTCCGACCAGCTTGTTCCCTATCCCATCAAACAGCACACCATTATCTAGGAATGCTTTTCGTTATCTCATGTAGAGCATTCCCTCAGGGACTGCCTCCAAGAGACGGGCCACCTTGGACAGCTGCAGAGATGGGGTGGCCCAGTCATACCCCTGGAAGGTCTTAGTCTGCCCCACACAGGTTGACTTTACTAGGATTAAGGTGATGTTGGATGGCACCACTACATCCACACAGCCCCAAGCCTGGGCGCCTTGGTGTGTACTCCTGTGCATGCCATGACTGGTTGCTGGAGCCATTCATGTCTGTAGAGACTACCAAACCTCAGACACTGCCTGTTCTGCAGGGACCTAGCAGCTGGTGAGTTGTGGAGGCACGCAAGTGCGTGGTTTGTGCAGAGACCAGAGGGTCAGTGAGAGCCTCTGCTGGTAGTGTGGGTTGAACACCAAGGCAGTGGAAGTCAATTCCAGTGGCCCGTCTTGTCACTGGCTGGGGAAAGAGCCCGGGGGACCATCAGGGGGCTCATGGCACAGCTAATACAGTGTTTCCCCCTTTGCAGTATGGGAACTCCGGAGGACCCCTGGTGAACCTGGTAAGTGTCCGCTAAAGTGGAGTGTCTGGTTTTCTGAGGCACAGGCTAGAGGTAGGGACAAGGCCCTTGGTCCTTGGTCCAGAGGTCAGCAGTGTCGCTGGGTTGGAGGCCCAGGAAGACCTGAGCACCAGGCCTGTGCTACCTAGAACCCTCGGGGACAACTGAAAACAGCTGCCAGGCTGGGGCCATGTGCCCCAGAGAGGCACTGGGCAATGGGGGCATAGATCAGGGTCCTACTGCTCTGGGCTTAGCTGTCCTCAGTTATAATTTAGGGTGAGAGGAGAGGCCACCCCATGAGCGATGTTATCCTTCCCTTCTAGAGTCGGGCTCAGCTTCATCCTGGCTGAGATTTTTCCAGAATAGGGCAGGAGGTTCAGCTTGGACCCCAGACTCTGAAGACTTAGTGCAGCCCGCCCCAAGGAAACTTACCCATAGAGTGGATAGTGTCCAGACTTGATGGGCCCACGTGCTCCAGGTGTACCTGAGGAGGCTCTGAAGGGATACAGGCCCCACCCCTGAGACAGACCAGGGAGCGTTTCCTGGAGATGGGCGCGCTTAGTGAGGGTGTGGAGGTGAAGGGATGGGTGGGCGAGGGGATGCCAAGGATAAGACACAGCACATGGGGCACTTCCGGGGTGGGGGAAGACAGTGTGGGGCACTTCATGGGCAGGGGCTGTGTCTAGCCGGCACTAAGGCCACTTGGGTAGGTGGCCGTCTCTTCCCCATTCAGTATTTTCCAGGCAAAGATGTTGAGGGAGAGAGGCTCACGTGGTAAGGCCTGGAAACTTCTTAAAGTTTCTGCCCTAGGCCACAGAGCGCTTCCCTGACACGCTGGTGGTGCCCTGCCTGGGTTGTCTAGGGAAAACGTCCAGCAGGCCTCCCATGGCCAGACAGCTTTTGGGAGGGGTCCTGCCCAGGAGTGGGGCCCGTTGACTGGGCCAGCTCCTTCTGTTGGCGCTGGCCCCCATGAAGCTGGGCAGGGTGGGAACCCAGCTCAAAACAGATTACACAGGTTGCTGCCCTGGCCCCATTCACTGGTCTCTGCTTTTTATAAGGAAGGGATAGAAGGGGTCCAGGACTCTGATGGGAGTAGATGGTGTTCTAGGTGCTGTGGGCACTGCCTCCCTCCTAGGGCAGAGGGGCTGGGGCTAGCAGAGCAGGCTCAACCCAATAACTACCCCAAAAGCCTTCTCAGGGGTAGAACAGAAGTTCCCAGGACTTGGAAGTTACACAGGGTGGGGGGAGTGTCACTGACCCCAATGTGACCTAGAGAGCCATCTTTCCAGGGTAGCTCGGGGCTGCTTGGGGCATCTCAATGGGGCACTGATGGCTGTCTCTGCTTCTGGAAAGAGTGCTCTCACACCCAGCTCAGCAGCAGTTGGTGGTTTTGCCTGCATGCCCCCGAGTAACCCCCACACTCTGCTCACCCTGCTCAGGACGGTGAGGTCATCGGCATCAACACACTCAAGGTTGCAGCTGGCATCTCCTTTGCCATCCCCTCGGACCGCATCACCCGCTTCCTCTCCGAGTTCCAAAACAAGCACGTGAAAGGTAAAGAACTCATTAGGGGGCAGGTAAGGCAGGGCCCCCCAGAACTAGGTCCAGCCCCACTTAGGTTAGCCAGGGCCCATCTGCAGGGGCTACCTAAGCCACATTTACCCCTAGACTAGGTCCTTCCCCATCCCCAAACCAGGAGACCCCAGGGTATCTCACCCCCAGCCTCTCTTAGGGCCTTCCTCTATGCCTCTCACTCAGCTCATGGCCACATCCCCTGCTCCTCCAGACAGTTTCTTCCCAGGTCCCACCATCCAAACTTGGACTCCTGGGACTCTTCTTAGTTGGCAGAAAATAGTGTTTTCTTTCTGCTGTCCTCCTGTCTACCCACCCATCCATCCACCATTCGTCTACCCACACATCCAACCCTCCATCTATGAATTCATCTATTTACCCATTCCCCAATCTACCCATTCATCTGTGTGCCAGTCCACCCATATTTTCTATTTACTGTTTCTTCCATTCATCCATTTACCTATTTATTCACTTGCCTACCCACTCAGCTATTTACCACCAATTCATCCACCCATCCATCAACCTATCACCACTCTACCCACTAATCTATACATTCATTTGCCTGCCCATTCATCTTCCCATCTATCCATCCATCAATTTGTACATTCACCCACTCATTCATTTATTCATCCATTCATTCAGCCAGCGAGCCATTTACTATCTACTCACTTGTTCATTTATTTATCCATACATCCATTCATCTCTGTCCACCTACCTTCCCATTCACTCATTCACCCATCCACCAGTCTACCCATTCATCTGTCCATCATTATATTCATTTATCCATCTATCCACATGTCCACTCACTCTTCTGTTCCCCCAATCTGCTCACACATCTACCCATTCATTAATTTAACCATTCATCCTCTTACCCTTCCTTCTATCTACTCATCTACTCGTACACACACCCAGTCATTCATCCATTCTCTCACACATCCACCCATCCATTCATGCATCCATCAATTACCCATCTATGGATTCATCCATCCATTCATCCACCTATCCTTCTTCCTCCTATCCATTTATGCTTCCACCCATTCATCTATGTTTCCACCCATTCGTCTACGCATCCCTAAGTACTCTTTTCAGCCTGTACAGTCAGCCTCGTAGGGTATCTTCTGTTCCAAGGGAGCAAAGGCCAAGAACCCAATCCTTGGGAGTCACCTCCTGTCAGCCCCTATCCCCTCACTCCAGTCGAAACAGGCATTTCTGGTCCCTCTTGCCCTTCTGGGTGGCCATCTGCATCCCTCTAGGAAGAGGACTTGCCAAAGACAAAGCAGCTTTCCAAGTGAGAGCATGCTAATCTTTTTAGTTAGTGATCATGGCCACTGTCCAGAAAAGGGCCCCACTCCTGATGTCAGGCTCCTGGTGGCCCTTACCTTCCCATTTTCAGCCCAGTGGGCTGCCAATTGCTGTATCTTCCACCCCAGCTCCTGCTGCCCATACCCTCTCACACTGCCTCCCTATCTCCCCCTCGGCCTCTCACCAGCACTGCACTGAGAGCAGGGGCCTTCCTCCTGCCTGCCCCTCCCTTTGCGGCCCTGCGAGCCACACACACACGGACCCCAGTACAGCAGAGACTGCTCCCATGGAGAACTGCAATTGAGGAGCCTCGTTCTGTTCCGAGTGGCCCCGTGTGAAGATGACAGGAACAGACAGAGCACCTCTGGTGAACAGTGGGAACTAGCCACCTCTTCCCTCTGCTGCTAGGAAGCTCAGAACTAGCCCAGGGTCCCACCTTTGCTCCGTTGGTAGCCTTGGCCCTTCCTCTAGTGACCAGGACTTTCCAGTTTATCCTATTTATGGGATCAGAGCTCCATCCACACAGACTGGCCTGTGGGTGAATGTGGTGCTGGACATGGCCCAGTGGCCTCCTGTCCCCTTGTTCCCACTCCCACTCTCAGATAAGAACTCACTGGGGCCAGATCTGCTCCTCTGTTGGAGAGCGATTGTCCTAGTCACAAGTGTCCCAGTCACTTATTCTGGGGAAATGCTCACCCCATCCCTACCTAAGGACAGTGCCTACCACCTGAGGGTCTGACAAGGCTTAGCTAAGTGGAGTCTGTTGATTTAAAGTCCTTCTGAAATTTGTGCTTATTTATGCTTTTCCTTTTTGAAATAAAAACATTGGATGACCTGAACCCAGTTAATCTAAGTTCTTTAACACATTACTTTTACTAAATCAGGGAAGCATCAAGTACATCTCTTTTCTCATCCAGGGTTTAGTGCAGGGGCCTCTGGGGGTTTTCAGACTCCTGAGTGACCAGAGCAGTACTGTTCAGGGGAGCTGTCCCCTTGGCTGTGAGCCAGGAGCTTTAGGGTGACAGGAGAGGCAGGCAGTGGGCAAAGCACACCATTACCTCCTCAGGTCACAGATTCCCTTTGGGGAGCTCCCATGTTTGGAGTCCAGATGGGGAGGTGGGTGGGCCTAGGAAGTACATGGGATCTGCCACAGAAGCAGGGCCTGGAGAGGAGCTTGGGCTGGGCCCTGAGCCACTGGCAGCATAGCAATCTTGCTGTGCTTCTCTGCATCCTTCCGGGGACAGCTCTGGGAACCTTGACAACTGTGGATGGGCTAGCCTTGGACCCAGAGGTCTGTCCTAACCTCAGCTCCTTCCCAAGGCTGGGCAGTCACAGCAAGTGTATGACTGGCTGAGCTGCCCTGCCTGCTCATAAGTGTGCACACTGCCCTCTGAGCCTTCCCTCTAGTGGGGAGGGAAACCTAGCGGACCTTGGAATGATATGACTTCTGAATGATGGGCCTGGGTAGGAAAAATGGGGAGCAGAGGAGCTCAGGAGATGGATAGTCCCACATTCCTGGAAGCCAGTCTGTGGGGTGGTACTGAGGAGACTTTCAGAGCAGGGGACCGACATGGGCTAGGTATTGTGGGGCCTTGGGGAAGGAGTAATGGTAAGTAGGGCACATTGGCTGTTGGGCGGGGGTCAGTGACTGAGAGGAAGCAAAGAGACGTCAGGGCATAGCCACCTTCTCACGGTTGAGTCAGGCTTCGTTTGAAGGTTTACCAAACAAGACACCAGTTTACCAAAAGTCAAGAGGCGGTATAGGAGCCAGGGAGAGGCTTATGTGCTGAAGGGGAGGGGACCAAATGCTGAGGAGCTGTCATTGACAGCTGGCTGGGTTTCTGTCCCCGACCTGGGAGAAATCACAGACCAGCCAAGGGCAGCTCCCGTATCGATATTCCTGAGACACGGGGGCTCACACTGGACCTCTAACGTTCCAAGAATTACATCTCTGCAGAGCACGGGGTGTGGAGACCCTCCGCTCCTCAACTCTCCTCGCCGCCGCTCTCCCTGTCTAGAGACTGAATCTCTGCACCCTCATTGAGCTCTTCATGGTCTTTCAGTCTATAGCATTGTTTCTTGGCCATTTTCTTTCAGAGTCTTCCTCTGTTGATCTCTGGAACTCTCCAGAGCTTCAGGTGTCAGGGTCTGTACCTCTTTGGTGGCTCTCTGGAACTCTCAGCTCCCTTTGGGGCCACAGCTCTGAGCTTCGGGTGTCAGGGTCTATAGCTCTCGGTGGCTCTCTGGAACTCTCCTTGCTGCTGCCAACCGGGCTGGGAGCTTGGGTTTTTTTTTTTTTTTTTTTCTGCTTTTTGTGCAACCAGTTCACAAAAGATCAGAAGCAGGCAAAAGACCAGTCAGTAAGAAGCCTTTATAGGGGCTGAGGGATGTGTCCTTATATAGCTAGAAAGAGCATGGTAGGATTCTACCAATCACAGTACGGCTTCCTGTCCACCAATCACAAGTCTCTCATGAGCGCAGCCGCTTTTCTGCTCATCACAAGCGGCTTGTGATGGACAGCTCCCGCCATCGCCACCAGGGAGGTGCCACCCCACCCCACCCCTGAACTTGTTGAAGGCTGCTGCTGCCAGGGTTGTGTGGAGGTCACCAAGGTTTCTCCAGGCTGGAGTGAGGCATCCCAGAACTGTCTGGAGCTGGACTGGCGGGAGTGAGACTTCCTCCTGGCTCCAGAGGCAGCTGTGGTGGCCGAGGTTCTTGCAGCTGGAGTGGAGGCCCCCTGCCCCCACCCCCAAGGACTCTGGGGTGTGCACAACCATCATACGGGCTGCCAAAGAAGGCTTTGCTTGGCTTATAGCCCCTGTTCAAGGCTGTGGAGCGTAAGGGCCTGTCCGCGGTCATTCCAGCGACCGAATGACCTTCTCCTAAATGCTTACCCTATTTAAAGAAGGAAGAATCATTAAGATCTGCTTACACTAAGGAACCCCTATGGGAATAATGTCATCTGTGACTCCTGCCTACCCTTAGGGGTGGGCACCCTCCACCCTGTCTCAGAATGTGTGAAGCCCCTGGCTTGACCTTTGCCCTTGACACTGTTTGGAGGGTGTGTGTGCGCGACGATGACCAGAATGGCTTAGTGGTTCATACCATAGCCACTGCTCTCTAGGTCCAGGACATTCTCGGGTACCCAGCTGTCTCAGCCCTTTAAGGTAACCCCCCCCCCTTTCTCTATCTTAGGATTCTGTTGGTGATGCTCACTAAAGTGGGGGATACTTGGGGGGGGGGCAAAGTGAAGATTCCCACCAGTGCTCCCCTCTTTCCAGTTGGGCTGCACGTGACTTACGGAAGTGATTTTTCCCACAGAGACTGGGCAGGATGGAAGGCTGACAGATACAATTGCCCCAGCCTTAGAGTCAACAGAGCCCCGCCCCTGCTCCACACCCCCGGAAAGCTGAAGCTTTGTGCTTTTTAAACGTGGCCTTAGGCTCCAGGCTGAGTGGAGGTGTCAAAGGAGGAGCATCTTGGATACCCAAGCTTGGGCTTCATCCTGTCCTGATGCAGGTTCCTGGGTTTAGGTGGCATCCACAGTGAAGCCCTGTACTCCCCACCTCACCTCCCGGCCTCTTCTTGCGTGAGCTGAATGTACATGTGTTTATGGGACATCACGTGAGTTATCAGAGGCACTGTACTGAAACCCCACCTGCTGATCCCTCAGTTAAGGGCACCCCCTCATCCTCCCTGAGTCCTATGCCCTTCTGCCACCCATCTTCCAGTCCCTAGGCCCTCCCTCCTGGGTAGATCTGCATTGGCCCCACAAATACTCCATCACCCAGCATCACCAGCCACCAGAGCCCAGCTCACTGTGGTGCTACTCCAGCCACACCACAGACGTCAGGCCTCAGAACTCCAGCCGCATGCGCATGCGTCTGTGATTCAGGTGGGATCCAGAGCCTTCCAGCCCTACGCCCCAGGGCATTGTCGCTACTCATTCATCATTTGCTCTGGATAATGGATTATTCCGGCACCATCTTCTCAAAGGACTTTCCTTTTTTCCACCCAAGTGGTTTCCCAACTTTACCACAAACGAAGCTGCTCGCTCTTGTCCCAGTGCCGGGTGGCCTCGTGCCACGTGGCTCTCCCAGGAAGTCCTGAGGTCAGGTGCTCTGAGTCCTCCCACTCGCTGCTCCTCCTCATCTCTGCTCTCTGAGCTCCTTTGTTCCAGAAACAGGTGAGAATCAGCTTTCCGATTGCTATGGAGGAAAATCAAAAGCCTGATGGTATTTCGATTGGAGCCACAATGTGTCTGTCAAAGACTTTGTGGGGGGATTGGCATTTTAACAGTGTTGCACCCTCAGATCCGGGACCACAGCATCTGGCTCTTCTCAGCGTATGTTATACTGAGTATACAGTTTGCTGGCCAATTTCTGATGGCCTGCTACCAGAATCTACAAGCAAATTTGACTTTGGTATGTTGAATGCTTGATAACTCAGGGGTTCTAGTAGTTTCTTAGTAGATTTCACTGGGTTTTCTATTGTAGATGATTGTGTGGTCTATGAATAAAGACAGTCCTTTCATTTTCTATCTGAATGGCCCAACCTCATTCCCCAAGTTGACTAAAATGTTGAATAAAGTTTTTGGGAATGGCCTTCCTTGTCCAGTTCCCACAGAAAAAAAGCATTCAGTCTCATGCCAGTAGGCATACTGCTGGCTAAAGTTTTTATTTTTACTTTTTATCAAGTTGAAAAGCTTCCCTTCTGTTTCTGGATTCTCATAGGCACACAAAGTGAAATTTTGCCCAGTGCTTTCTGTGTGTCTGCTTAGGTCATAGTATGTTCCCCCCTCCCTTTTTAGTGTATAATATAACTCACATTTGCTGATTCATAATTTTTAAGTATTGGGGACTGAATCCAGGTCAAATCCAAGGTAGACAAGTATTCTACCATTGAGTCATATTCCCAGTCCTCTTCTAACTTTATTTTGAGTCAGGGTTCCAGTACATCACCCAGGTTGGCCTTGAACTCGCTTTGTACCTCAAGCAGGTCTTGAACTTGCCACTGTCCTGGCTCAGCCTCTGGAGTAGCTGGGGTGACAGACCTGTACCACTAGGTCAGGCTGATCTTTGAATGTTAAACCATCCTGTGAATTCCTGGACTAAATCTCGAAGCTGTGATGGATTATATATTTGGTGTGTTGGATCTGATTTGCTGTAATCCTTTGGAGCAGTTTTGTCCCTATCAAGATGAGAGGTTGTTGATATAGTTCTGGGTTTGGTCAGGAGACACCAGGGTCACTTTGAGTCCCCTGGAGGCATCTGCAGAACCTGGGCTGTTTCTTCCTTAAACTACTGGTTTCAGCAGCGACATCATCTGGATCTGAACTCTTTGTGGGAAGATTTTTTAACCACTCATCAACTTTTTTGCTAGATGGAGGGCTTCCGGCCATTCATTTCTTCTTGAATGGACATAAGTGTTTGGGGCTTTTCAGACCCTCAGTGGTGGAATGCATGGCCACAAAGCACTGGATAGCTCCTCTAGCAGCCTTGTGAGGTCTGAGGGTCTACAGCGACACCTTGTCTCTCATTCTTGACATCGGTAATGATCTGTCTTTTCCTCATGATCACACTGGGTAAGGATTTATCCATTTTATTGATTTCAGAGGATTGGCTTTGGGTTCATTTCTATCTCTGCTGGGCTGTTTTGTGGCTCTTTGGTTCTTAGTCCTGTCTTCTGCTTCCTTTGAGTTTCATCTGCTACCTTTTTCTTGTTTTTTAAAAGGAACCAGAAGCCACTAGTTTGAGACTTTCCATTTTAAATTTAAAAAAAAATATTATTGGGCTAGAAAGATGGCACAGCAGTTAAAAATAATCACTGATCTTGCAGAGGACCTGGGTTCAGTTCCCAGCACCAACATGGCAGCTGTAACTCCATTTCCAGGGGATCTGATGCCCTCTTTTGGCCTCCATGGGCATTGCATACATGTGATGCACATAATACATACTAAGTACTCATGTATATAAAACAAAAATAAATAAATCTCTTTAAAATTTGTATTATTGCCTCAGAAGGTGGGTGCATGCCATGGCACATATGTAGAGGTTCAGAGGACAACTTTGTGGGGTCAGATCTCTCCTTCCTTCCTTATATGGGTTCTGGGGATCGAGATCAAGTCACCAGGCTTGTACCACAAGCACCTTTACCTGCTGAGCCATCCCGCCTGCCTGAGTCCTTTTCTCCTGACATGGGTGTTTAGCTGTGGTCTTTGCTTCTGAGAACAGCCTCTGTACCCTGGAAGTTTTAGTTAGGAATATTTTCATTGATGTAGTTGAAAATATTCTCTCATTTCTCCTTCTCCTCTCATCTCTGAAAACGGCTTCTTGTCACTTCCTATGCATTTGGGTTCCACAGACTCTTCCTACTGTTGATTTCTGGTTCAATTCCACCATGTCCAGGGAATTTTAGTGAAGTGAAAACTTGAAATGTGTCAAGCCTTGCCTTGGGTTCTGAACCTTTCCAGTGGTTCACTAGAACATCAGGGGGTGGGTGGGAGCAGGGAAGTGGGGGAGGAGAGGTTTGGGGAGGCCCTTGAGAACTGTACCTCACTGTGACCAGTGCTCTCCGGGCATCGTCACATGATGTTGCATGTACAGAGAGGGCAGAGGGAGATGAGTTCCTGCCCCAGTAAGGACACTGGGGCATCAGCGGTGGGGAAGCTGGAGGAGCTGGAGTGAGGAAGGAGCTCAGCTGGGGGCAAAGGTGAAGGGTCAGATGAAGGGTCAGGGGGGACTGAAGCCACCTGCCAGGAGCAGATTAGAGCCAGATATGTCTCAGCTCCAGAGGGCAATCAGAAGGACAGGGTAGGCCCAGGCCCCTGCCCATAAGCAAACTTGCTCCTGGTTTCCCATCCTACTGAGTCTCCTGTAGGTTCCCTTCTCAAGGGCAGTGACCTTGTAGCCTATGTAGCCTAACTGAACCCACTGTGTTCCATTCCCAGACTGGAAGAAGCGCTTCATTGGCATCCGGATGCGGACCATCACACCAAGGTGAATGCCACTGGTGACATCCCTCTGTCCCGTCCTCCCATGAACCCCTTCCATATACTGACCACTATGCCCCGCTGCTGGCAGGTGCTAGAGGGGTCAGACCCACTACCACTGCCTAATGGATTCCTTTTGCTCCTTTACAACTCCATTCAGATGCCCCTTTCCTCCAGGAAGCCTCCAGTAATTAATAAGTAATTAAAACTGGGTGGCTTAAAACAACCAAAATATATTACTTGAGAGTTCTGGAGGCCAGAGACTGAGGTCCCACGGGCCCCACACTCTGAGGTTCCAGGGTGCGCCCTTCCTGTGTCTCCTGACTCCTCCTGGCTGTTGGCACTCCTTCACCCTTGGTGAACCTCAGACTGCCAGTCACTGGATATAAGAGCTGCCCAGATCCATGACTTTATCTCAAGATCCCTGACCAACTAGAGTGGCAAAGACCTTCTTTCCAAACATGGTCATGTTCTGAGGTCCTAGCGGACATTTCTCCATCTCCACAGGCCACTCATGTAGAAGAGCCCCCCCTCTTTGTACACCCCACTCTCCTTTATCACTGTGGTGCCCCACAGTGTCGGAATGGCCTGTCAGGCCTCCCCCCCCCCCCCCCCCCGCTGCCTGCCACTTTGACTGTGAGTTCTAAGGAGATGGCTGTGTTCCCACCCACCTCTTGGCTCTGTCTGGCCCTGGTAGAGGTTCAGAACAGGGCAGCTGCCTGGAAATACAGGATGAAAGTGATAAAGAAGGGAGTTGGGGAGGAGGGATGGGGGGAAGTCCAGCCCAGGGTATTGGAAGAAGCCGCACTACATTGTGAAGTGCTGGGGCTAACTCGGGGATATCCACCAACCACCCCAACTCACGCTTCCTGCTTCAGTAGCTGTCAGTCTAGGGAGCAAACTGTAAACGATCTACACCTACGACCAGTATACCAACTCATCTTTTAATTGTCTGCTTCCCCAACCACCCGTCCACTTATCATCTGTCCAGCCTTCGCCGTCCACTCCATGAATGAATCATTCCCCACCTTTCCACCCAGAGCCTTCTGTCCATCCACCCACCCATCTGCACTTCCTCTGCCACCCTTTAGATCCTGTCCTCCCATCTAGCTGTCCCCTTTCCACACTCGAAGCCAGTTGTGGCCACTAAACAGCCCCAGCTCATGGGGCTCAGGGTGCTCCGAGAGCCCACAGGAGACTGTCTGGCTTGGGTAGTGGCAGAAAGGGGGCAGCCACATGCCAGGGAGCTGGGCTGGGGACAGAGGCTGACACAAAACTGCCTTTCCAGTTTGGTGGAGGAACTGAAGGCCGCCAACCCAGACTTTCCAGCGGTCAGCAGCGGGATATATGTGCAAGAGGTCGTTCCCAACTCACCTTCTCAGAGGTATGCTCGGCCAGCAGAGGCAACGCTCAGACATGGGGGAGGTGTGTGCTGGGGCCTGGGCTGGGCCTCCTCACCGACCTTAGGTGACCTGCAAGTTCCTGGCAAGGAGCTGTGGAGTTTGGCCTCTCTGCTGAGCCATGGGAGGGATGAACTGTCCCTGAGAGCATTGGCCACGCCTGTCCTTGGAGCAGAGGGATCTTTCCTTTGCGAAGCAGAGGCTGAAGAGTCTCTGCTTGGGCCAAAAGCTGTCTCCAAGCCTCCCTCTCTCCAGAAGGAGCTGGGGCCTCAGTTTTCATATCTGTAGAAAGGACATGGTTCTACAGAGTCCCTATCCCAGAGTCTGTCCTGGCAAAATGAGATAAAGTCTTTGTTTTTTAAGAACTACAGAAATGTTAGGTACAGACCTGTTATGGTGGCACAAGCCTGTATGTACCCTCAGTATTTTGGAGAGAGACTCAGAAGGATTGGGAATTCAAAGCCAGCCTCAGCTAGATAGAAAGCCAGCCTAAGCCACATGGGCCCCTGTCTCCAAAAAACCAAAATCCAAACAAACAAAGCAATGTTAAGTGTTGGGACACCATGAGTTGAGGCTGTGTGTCCCATATGATCATGTCCTGGCATCCTGGCTTCTACCTCATCCATGCCATGATGGGTAGGTCATATCAGTGGCTTTGAACTGTGGCTCTTGGATCTGGGGGGCCCCATTGGAAAGTAGCCTGCTGTGGGGAGGTGGGCCTACTCCTCCTTCTGGAGTTTGAACATCACTGGCCTGGTGATGCCACTAGCTTTCCATTGGTGTGTTATTTCTCAAAATTATTTTGTATGTGCATGCTGAGGGTCTTTCTCCTGGTTGGCAGAGGAGGCATCCAAGATGGCGACATCATCGTCAAAGTCAATGGACGCCCCTTGGTGGACTCCAGTGAGCTGCAGGAGGCAGTCCTGAATGAGTCTCCACTCCTGTTGGAGGTGCAGCGGGGGAACGATGACCTCCTCTTCAGCATCGCACCTGAGGTGGTGATGTGAGGCTACCTTCCTCCAGTGCCATGCCAAAGCCTACAGAAGGCGGAGTCCCAACCTTCATGAGATCAGGATGAAGCACTGCTCACCTCAGCACCTCAGCAGGGTCAGCAGGCTCCTCTGTGCATCCAGGGCTGAGTCCAAGACTGGGCCTAACCAGAAGTCTGTATCTCAGCCTCGACTCTGAATTCCAGTTCCAATGGAGGAAGCACAGTGTCCCCTGGACCAAATGCTCCTGGTGTCATCTTCTGAGTTCTCTGAATTTAGAAGCTCCTAGAAACTTCCCTGGAAGTCTGCCCTTCCCTCAGCTTCCAGCCTCTCCCCTCAGGAAGGCCCGCCTGCCTGCCTCCCATCCCACCTCCCTTACATCCCAGTGCCTAGACCTCTCCCCTCACAAGTGCTTTCCTGACCCCATCTGGTTTCCATCTGCCTCAGCACCCCCTCATGGTAAGACAGGGGCTGCTTGCCCTGCCACCCGGCATCCCTGGTGGGGGGGCAGGCCCTACAGCTGTCCCCTGGAGAATCCAGGGTTTTGACCCGGAGCAGGTAAATGCCCCTCACTGCTGAGCCGAGCCCTGTGCTGGCCCAGGCAGCCGGGAAGCAGAGTGTCATGATCACACAGTCTCCGATCCTGAGAGCTCACTCTCCCAAGGTGACCATGGGGTGGCCAAAGGGGGAGCTGGCACCTGCCTGAGGTGCAAGGACTGAGCCACTTCACCTCTGCACGCAGTTCTGGGTGCGCCAGCCATCTCTGAAGACTGCCGCCCAGCAGCCAGCAGGCTCCCAAGGGCAGGCATCTTGGTTCTCCCTAGTGTTTCAAGTGTATTTGTGAGCTTTGCTGTAAAATCGCCCCCACTCCCCGGGCTGCTTGTACTGTATGTTTCTCTACTGTACAAAATTAAAGTTTACAAGCACATGACTGTCAGCCAGAGAGGTGTTTGCACACACACACACACACACACACACACACACACACACACACACACACACACACACCCCGGCCGGGGTCTTCCTGGGGCTCCACACCGATCTGAGACCTGTAAGCGGCCTTTCCAGGTTTATGCAGTGTCAACCAGAGTGGCATCAGGGCCGCCTGATGCTCTGGGCAGCCTTACATGGGGCCTCTGGGGACTGTGCCTTCGCATCCAGCTTTGGGGTTTTACCTTTCCCTCCTCACACTACCCAGCTGCTGGCCGCTGTGGCAAACAACAGCGGTTAGAAGGGCACGTGGCCCCCAGCGAGTACCCAAGCCCTTCCATGCATACTTGGCCATGTGGCTGAGCTCTGTCTCTGCTCTCCTCTCCTTTTTCTTTCTGTTCACAAATACTACCCATAGCCCACAGTGGCTGGGAGCAGACATTTTCCAAGAGGAGATTCTC